GTCACCCACCCCAAGCACTGAAACTACAATAATTTACTAAGCGTACGCTGATATATTCATTTATCCCACACCATAGAAAGTACAGCCAATCCGAATGCAGGAAAGCTGTCGTATGTTCGTCGCGCGTTGAATCAAAGCATTTATATTTTCTACGGTGGGAGATAAAATAGTTATACAATGCTTTTTGTGCCACACCATGGAATATTCCACTTGTCACTTGGATTTTGTTTGTATACTCACTCGCCTAAAGGCGTAGAGATAGAAAATTCAAGTAACGCGTGGGATATCCCATTTAATAGTACTCGAAAGCATTAATGGCATATATATATAACGTATTTTAATACGTTTAAAAGTCTATAGACCCCCTGCAGCACTTCGGAATGCAGCTCAATCTGGGGTCAAAACAATAGGTTCCAATTTTCAGAAGATTGGAATTCTTTTGCCTTGTCCCTCAGATCGAGCTGCTTTGACGTCACAAGCAAAAAGTCAGGACTGACTCTTACATGACCAATAGCACAATCCAGAAATTTTCGAGTAGGTAAATCTGAGATTTTCGACGATGTCAAAGCCATTCAATCCAATTCAATTTAGAAAGCCATAATGAACATAAATTAATACTAAAAGGAATGATTTTTTTTACCTTTGATATATCTTGACCATCAACAGAGATAGATCCTTCAAGGATGTCATAAAATCTGTACAACAGCCTGATAATCGTGCTCTTCCCGCCACCCGAGTTTCCAACAAATGCTACCGTCTGACCAGGATACACTTTGAAGGAAACATTTTTCACGACGTGGTTGCTAAAAAATAGAATTTTGAAGACTTCGTCTGAGGCTTATGTCAAACGCCGAATTTCAAATGAGCCGAACCTAATGACATCTAAGAAGACCGTAATATCACTCGTGCCACACACCATTCTCGTCAGTTCCCGCGGAGCCTAGAGTTCCTTGCAGGCTCTAACCAATAAGACTAAAATAAAACTTCAATTATATCGACTCCTAAAATAAACACTCAGGAGCTCTCAGATGATCTCACTAAAAGATCGAATTCGAAATTTAGCTCGATTGGATTTGTGGGAGAGCAATAGCAAAGAACCCAGAGAAAAACCATCAAGGGAGAGACCTTACAAACTCTGCTCACAAGTGATGTCGAGTCCAGGAATTGAACCAGAGACCCGAGATGCAGGTGCACTATCACAACATCACCCTTGTTTCTCGAATTCCCGTACATTTTCACTCGAGAAAAGCAATATTTGCACATGAAGACTGTTCACAGGTAGAAAAATCTCCTACAAAGATCATGCGTTCGCCTTGATGTGAAATGCCTTACCTCAGATTGTAACCAAAACTCACGTCCTTGAACTCAATAAGCCCATTAGAAACATTGAGAATAGTTGCGTCTGGAGGATCTAGAACCTGAAAAAAAGTATTTAAACCCTTATGATAAAATACATTGAACTCTAGTGAACCTTCAAATCTTATATATATCTTGATACAACCCCTTAGCGTGGAATTGACCCCTGAATGCGAGGTTAACATGGAAATACGAAAGAAGTGAAACGTTTTCTCGATGGAGTTTGTGGCATTTCTCTTGTATTTCCATGTTAGCCTCATAGATTACATTCAAGATAATCTTGAGAAGGGTTCATTTGAGGTCAGTGTTGGTTTTAGCGGAGGAAAAAAAACCCCTCCATATTCTATTCACTTGTGATGACAAGTCCAGGAATCAAACCAGAGACTTTTAGAGTCGAGAGGTGAGTGCACTACCGCTACGTCACCCTTGACTTCGACCTGTACAATCCCCCTAAGTGACCACAGGTAGCCCAAGCTTGGTTTCTGCGGTGTCCTGTTATAAGGAAATGTATGGGGATTCATCAAAAATTTCAATAAAATCATCTAAACGTAAAATGAAGCCTTGAAAGTTTACCCGATCATTGAGGAATAGCACTTCTTTCACTCTGCGTGGTGATTTTTTGAATTTAGCCCGTTTTAAGATTTTTTTCCCCACCAGTAAGGAAAAAAATCTTAAAACGGACTAACATTTCCTTATAACAGGACACCACAGAAACCAAGCTTGGGCTACCTGTAAAGTGACTATTAGATATTTTACAATAACTTACAAATTTCTCGAGCACTGATTGGTTATTTTTTATCATCAATAAGAGGACAGACAGATAAAGCTGACGTCAACAAGCGCGCGCTCTTTCCGTTGGTTGTTTTGATCGCTAAAAATGAGAAGTTTTTATCGTTTTTGTTATTGTAAAAAACAAATTGACATCAGATTTTTATGTGTCTGTCCTCTTATTGACAATAAATTTCGCAATCACAGTGTCAAAGTAGTATGCGGATCCACACTACTTTGACAATGTGATGAGGGAGAGCTTGCGTAAATCTCAAAAAAATATCGAGCAAGCACTTTATCTACGAAAAAAAATATCGCGCACCCTCTCCTTTCAAAAAATGAATATCGAGCAAACACTAAACAATTTACAATTTTTGGTGGCCCCGCTGGCTACAAAAAAATAATTATCTTCCCCTCCCCCTCCTCCCCAATCCCCCAGAGCCGCCACGAAGGCTACAAAAAAATAAATATCGTGCAACATAAAGTCCTGCAACCCCCCCCCCCCCCCCTCGATTATATAATGGTCCATCCCTAAGTACTGACCACTGCACCCGTGACCAGATCTGCCCCCATCCATATAATTAGGTAACTAACCTCACGGCCCTGTGAAAACAGATCAAACATGTTCTCCATGTCAACAAAGCTACTCTGGATTAACCTATGGAATAAAAATATCAGTTGCAAACATCAGTGCATGCATTAAGAACAGAAGCTAGAACAGAAGGTTTCAGCCTCCAACGATCCATTTCGTCTAGATCCAACACTGCAAATGTGAGACACAAAACTAGTACGGCATTTCGTGACTAAGTCTTTATGTAAATATTAGAGTGTGTGACGAAATGTTCATGTAACCAGATAGTAGTTTTGTAACCAGAGATATA